ATCCCCAAATATTTTGGCTACTCTCACTTAGGTCACTGTGTGCTTAACTTAAAATGTACAATTTTTAGTCCTTCTGGATCATCTAATCATTCCCCCTATGCTCCCAAAGTTGCCCAATGACAAATCAAGAAACTGGATGATAAATCAGAAGCCAACTTGGAGAAGAACCAAGGGACGTGGGCACTGAATAATAATAATAATAATGGTCAATTGCACTGATGGGTGCTAATACCCAGTTAGGGAATATGAAATTCAATGAGCTCTCCCGTCCACAGCAGCCCCTTAAAAAGAAGCTCACACATACAAAGTTGGGGCTAGAAGAAATACAATAGAGCCTCTCTAGAAATGGTCTTTAGATACAAATTCAGCTCTCGGTTAAATTCACATAAATGTAGGGTAACTACACTCATATCACAGAGGCATATGTGTCTGTACTGGCTGTATGAAACCCTCCGAGCAGAGAGGGAGTTGTGGGCACAATAAGACATTATGAACCCCTTCCCCATGGGCAGATTTTCCAGAGTTGTTCTTCCCCATGATTTTTCATGTGCATGGCATTATTTTTATTGATTCACGTGTTATATGAAAAGGGTAACAAAAAATATTAGGGGTTTGGAACGGGTCCCATATAAAGAGAGATTAAAAAGACTTGGACTTCTCAGCTTAGAAAAGAGGACACAAAGGGGAAATATGATTGAGGTCTATAAAATCATGACTGGTGTGGAAAAAATGAATAAGGAAAAGTTATTTATTTATTCCCACAATATAAGAACTAGGGGTCACCAAATGAAATTAATAGGCAGCAAGTTTAAAACAAACAAAAGGAAGTTTTTCTTCACTCGGTGCAGAGTCAACCTGTGGAACTTCTTGCCAGAGGATGCAGTGAAGAATAGGACTTTAACAGGGTTCAAAAAAGAGCTAGATAGATTCATGGAGGTTAGGTCCATCAATGGCTATTATCCAGGATGGGTAGGAATGATGTCAGGAATCTAGCCTCTGTTTGTCTGGAAATGGGTGACAGGAGAGGGATCCCATAAAGATTACCTGTTGTGTTCCCTCCCTCCGGGGCAGCTGGCTTTGGCCACTGTCAGCAGACAGGATACTGGGCTAGATGGACCATTGGTCTGAACCAGTATGGCCATTCTTATGTTCTTAAGTGTCATGCCAGAAGCCATATCACAGCCAGCTCGCATGCCCTTGGTCTGACATTCACAGTGACAGCAATAAAAGAACATACCAAACTCTTTCCTAGGTAATTCGGGAGAAGAATTTGCGCTGGAGCTCCCTGCAGAAGGAAAGAAGATTCCATGTTAAAGCTTTGCCACGCTTTTAGGGCCCATTGCTGTTAAGATATTGTTTAATATGTCATGTCTGCATCTATCACACCTTAAGTATTGGCAGTGAGGGTGGCAGTGAGGGGATAACAAACATTTAAAAAGAACTACTGAGTGTGATACTGATGAGCTGCTGTCATGCTCCAGCTACAATAAGCAATGGAAATTATTTGGATGAACGTTATTATTGAAAAGACAATTTTCATTAAAATACCGGTACATCCTTGTGGTCTATTATTGGTCCTGATTGGGATCAGCAGGTTGTAAATGATAAGATGACTTAGCTGGGCACCTCTAATTCCCAGTCTCTATGACAGATTCTATGATACCTTCGTATGTTGCATTGCGGGTGACATAGGTTTTTCTTTCAAAGGTGGAGGCAGGTGATTTGGTGAGGGTAGAGGCGGGAGACGGGGCTTGCCTGTAGCCAGAGGAGGAGGAGTTCAGTCTACCACTTCCACCTAAAGGTAAAACAAAATCCTCTCAGCAAGTAAAGATAATGGCTCATACATTTAAAATGGTGCAAGGCTTATACTCTTCTGTGTGGCCATGGGTGGACCTCACGCTGAGTTGCAGAGGTAGGTTAAGGATGGGCTAGAATCTCAAAGTTTGGATCAGGCACTGTTGAACTTCTCCAAAGTTCGGGCATGCTTATAGCTGTGATTTTAATTCAGCTCCTTGTACAGAGACAAACCCTTCAACCTTTGAAGCCAATGAGAATTTTGCCAGTAGCATCAGTGGGAGCAGGTTTATGCCCAGAGAGAGAGGAACCAGCCACATCGCCAAAGATGGGAGATTTTGGGATCAGGCTAGGCTTGTGGGCTGGTTTGGGTTCTGCCCCCCTGTAAATTTAAGGGCTAGTGTGACACAGACCATACATTCATGGGGCTCTTAAGTTGGTCTCAAACATGGACATGGAAGTGGGAAACCCATCCATAAATCCACAAGAAGGTGTGGGCATTTGTGGAATTACTCCCATGACAGCATGAGGATCCGTGTCCTTACACTGCTATTGCTGGGTTCCAGGAGTACTGGCGTAGGGGCGAATGCGAGTCAAGGAGCTGGGGCCTTGAATGCTGTTAAATCCAGGCAAAGGAAAGGGCTCCTTTCTGACTCACATGTGAGCTGCAACAGACGGGGAGGCTGGATTACATCTTTCACTGCTCTGTCGTGTGTGGAAGGAACTAGCCCCCATGTGAATTCTAAGGGCACGTTTAAACCACGTGTTTTTTCGAAAGAGGATATGAAAATTCCACTGGAATTTGCATATCTTCTTTCGATCTCACTTTTGAAGAGGATCTTTCGAAAATGAAAGTAGTCTGGACGTGGGGTTTTTTTGGGGGAAAAAACCCCTTTTTCGGAAAAAAAAACCACGTAAACCTCCTTTTTTAAGGAAGAGCATTTTTTCCGAAAAAAACGTGTCCAGTCTACTTTCATTTTTGAAAGATGCTCTTTCAAAAGTAAGGTCAGAAGAAGAAATGCAAAATCCCTTGGAATTTGCATATCCTCTTTTGAAAATTCTACATAGTCTAGACATAACCTAACTCTGGTATTCGAGTCACAACCCAAAGTCGAGGGCCTCCTGAGATCCAGCATGATATATTCACGAAGATCAGTGAGGGTGACCGTGAACATCACCTTTCCGTGAGCACAAAGAGAGTGCGTCTTGGGCATCTCAACAGAGAATGAACAAAGGCCAGAATGTGGGTACTCACTTGCCCAACTATTCCTTCCCACCCCTCCACACACTGCCTCACTGCCTTTAGAAAATGTGTTGGTGGCATGTACCACAAATCCCCAGCCCATCTGAGCCCAACCTTTCAGGAGGCTAGAGCAGTGTGAAAGATGGAATCTGTCTTTCATGGGAAATTTTGAGGTGACTTTCTGTTCTGGACTGGAACGAAAAGTCAAAATGTTTTTCCAAACAAAAAATTCCCCAAAGTTTCTGACGGAAAAGATTAAAAAAAAGGTGGTGTGCGCGAATGGAACAAAACCTTCCGACACATGGAAACGACACGTCTCCTTTTGATCCTGCTGAGAGGGAAATGGAAAGCTTTCATGAAAAATGATATTTTCTCTGGGGAAAATGTCCATTTGGACAAAGCCACATTTCTGGGTGGGATTTTTTTTAGCGTAAAACAAACGTGACCAGTCCTACAAGACGCCACAGTCTCCTGTTGACTTCAGTGGGAACAGAAGCTGGTCATCCCCTTTCAGGGATGGGCTTTTGCACAGAAAGTGTTCTCATCTAGTCCCTGTGAATATTTTCTGGGTTTGCCCTTGTCTTGGGCTCCATCTCTATTCCCTCCCTACACCTCAGTGAAGCTGTCTATGCTTCCTGCTCATTCCCTCTCCGTTTCATCATGACTTACTTGAAGTCACGTAGCTGCTGCTGCTGTGGGTGTACGACCTCTTTTCCACGCCACTCCCTCCGCCGTGGGCTGAGGTTTTGTGCCCGGTGCTGCTTCCTCCTTCTGCGAGAGGCAAGCACAACATCAGACAGTCTGTGGCCAGAAGCGAGGAAGACAAGAGCAAAAGAAGCTGGACGATGAGGCACCAGGCACCCGCTGCTAGTGTTACGCTTGGTTACAGAGCCAGGGCAGTGGCTGAGGAGTTGTCTGTGGAGCCATGCAGGTGGGAGGAGTAATCAGTGTTGGGGAAGGGAGTCCAGCCTGAACTTTTTCTCTGTCTTTGGGCTCTCACATTCCAGCAGCCACAGCAACCAAAGGTCTCGGGTCATTTTCCCTTTCCATCCTGGTTGCAGGAAGTCTCTTCTCAAGCAATTGCATGTTGGGGCCAAGAACACGTCAGACTCACCCAGGGTGGGGTAGAGAGGTATATATACACCCCCGTGCCCTGGCTGATTCTGTACGTGCTCTGAGGGGATTCATCTTGAGGGAAGATGCCCTCCAAGGCTGTGTCTATGTGCACACTGCTGCCATGGCACAGCTGCGCTGACAGAGCTCCCCAGTACAGCATGTGTTTTGAAGACCCGCAAAGCCAAAGGGCGAGA